CCAGTGTGGAACACATCTCACCACGCTAAAACAGTGGATGTGGCTCTTAATGAGACATGCCGCATTATCACGGGGTGTCTGCGCCCTACACCACTGGAGAAACTACACTGTCTAGCCGGTATTGCACCACCTGACATCCGCTGGGAAGTGGCAACCAATAGTGAAAGGACCAAGGCAGTGACATCTCCAGCTCATCCCTTGTTTGGGTATCAGCCAGCACGTCAATGACTTAAATCAAGAAATAGTTTTCTAAGATCTACAGAGACACTCGCTGGAACACCCCAGCAAGCGAGAGTCCAAAAGTGGCAGGCTCAAACCCAGAACCTCAATCAATGGCTGATACCAAATGAGAGACTCCCCCCTGGGCACACAGAAAACTGGGCGACTTGGAAGGCGCTGAACAGACTGCGCTCTGGCACCACAAGATGCAGAGCCAACCTTCAGAAATGGGGCTACAAAGTGGAATCCTCGACATGCGAGTGTGGAGAAGAGCAAACCACTGACCACCTGCTGCAATGCAACCTGAGCCCTGCCACATGCACAATGGAGGACCTTCTTGCGGCAACACCAGAGGCACTCCAAGTGGCCAGATACTGGTCAAAGGACATTTAATCAACTACCAAGCTTGCAAACTTTGTGTTTTGTCTGTCTGTTTGTTTGTTTTGTTAAACTGTAATACAACTGTCTGTTGCTCCTGACACGATAAATAAATAAATAATCATGGAGGGAAAGTGTCTCCACTGAAGCTTTATCACCAATCCTTGTTTCTAAAACAAGCCAATTTTTTTCAAAATCCAATTATCACAGGGACAGAAAGTAAGATGAAATCTTCTGAACAGACAGCAAAAGAAAAACCACAGCGGTCTTGACCATTCCCTATGCTATCCAAGACAGAAAGAGAGAGAGAGGCTGGATTACACCTTTAAAATGTACATGTTCAAACTTACATACAAATTCAACTTATGAACAAGCCTTATTTATAACTTGGGGACTGTCTGTATATAGTGCCAACTTACAACAGTCCTACTGCATGCTACTAAGTGGTAAGAAGCATTTCCTGTTTTGCCTGATTTCTGATCAAGAGCAGAAGGGTGGCAACGTTTTCCACAGCACTTGTTCTAGGTGACAGCACTAGTTGGCAGTTGCATGCAAGGGATTCTACAGCATATTTTATTGATCTGTTTACCAATCTATATAGCCACCTTATGAAATTGTTTATACAGCTGACTTTCCCTGACTAAGTTGTGCCATTTAACCATTCCACCTGAGGCTACTGAAGAAACTGCAGATGGTTCCCTGTTTTTTACAGACACCGAAAGAAGTCAAACACCTCCTCATCTACAGCTGCTGCACATGTACTCATGTGGAATATCCAGAAGGAATGATTTGTCATGAGTTGCTTGTAAATTTGCTTTCCTAAATCAAACAAAATGCAGTAATACCTGCTCTGTTTCATGATCAAATGTACAAGAGAGTAAGCCAAGACATCCCCTGGCTTAAATCTTGTCTCAACCACATTCTCAATATTGTTTTAGTCTCTGTATCCAAACCTGAAATACAGAGATAAATGCTATTGGCTACCTTATATGGCTTCTGAAGGAACTATTGACTGCACATATAATGTATTGTGAGACATGCGAAATGTAAAATTAAAATACTACAGTATTTGAGTTGTGCAACACAAATACACTATTATTCTGTGCTATTGCTGTGCAGCTTCATAAAATGGAAGGCAGAAGGAAAAGAGGAAGCTGGCATTATTAATAGATCTGTTCAATAAAAGAAGCCTTAGTCTTGACTTTGGACAACCTGAGCAGTGCTCCTGATTATCAGAGCTGGGGAGCATGTGTGTATCTCTCATTCAAAAGATCACCACAAATGAAATCCAACTTAATGAAAAACAACAACACCAAAAAAAACAAACTCTACAGTAACTTTAGGAGCTTTCTCAAGAAAAACCAGACTTTTGAATCTGATCCTTCTATTTCCTTCACTCTCCACAACCTCTGTCTATACGCTACTCATTTTTTTACTTTTTAGTATCACTTCCCCTGCCCCCTCCATTGTCATCCACCTTGCTGTTAACTGCAGTCTCAAGTTAACTTCAACTGATGATGCCCTATGAATCACCTATCGATTACTCATTATAAGAAGCATTCTGTGGAGTTAGGCCAAACATTCAATCTAATATTCCACAGCAACTAGATATTGCTTTTTGGATGCTGGCAGGCAAAACCCTTTTTAAAAAAGGAAAGTCAGCATACAGCAAAAGTCAGGGGCATACAACTTCTGTATTTATAGACTCCACTTCACTATCACAAGGAATAGCAACTTCGTTCTCCTCTTTCCTCTCTATCTCTTCACCTTATGTTTCCAATTTTAGAAATTCAAAATCCAAAGTGAATAAAAACAAAGGTTATATTACATTATATGACCAGAAAGAGGCATCAGTGCAAGTTTACAGTAGCGTGAAAATAATTTTCAATGGCCCCACACACACATGGATTCTGTATCCACAGATTCAACCATCCACAGTTTAAAATATTTTTTTAAAAAAATAAAAAAGCAAATCTTGATTTTAACATTGTATATAAGAACACATCATTTCACTACAGCACTAGGCACACAGAAAACTGGTGACTTGGAAGGTGCTGAACAGACTGTGCTCTGGCACCACGAGATGCAGAGCCAATCTTAAGAAATGGGGACACAAAGTGGAGTCCGCAACATGTGAGTGCGGAGAAGAACAAACCACTTACTACGACGAAGCCTGAGCCCTGAAACATGCACAACGGAGGACCTCCTTACAGCAACACCTGAGGCACTCCAGGTGGCCAGCTACCGTCAAAGGAAATTTAGTATAGTGACAGGTGTTTTAACTTTGTTTGTATTTTCTTAAATACATTATAACTGTAGTCTCAATTCACTTCTGACATGATAAATAAATAACTACAGCACTGATATAATGGGACTTAAACATATATTTTGGTGTCAGAAAATCAGGAACCAATCCCAAGCATTCTATCTGAAAGGACTCCAGATTAGCATCATCAACATCACTGTTATTATACAGATACTCCTCTCACTGGATTGCTGTGAGTTTTCTGGGTTGTATAGCCATGTTCCAGAAGCATGTTCCTGACGTTTTGCCCATATTTATGGCAGGCATCCTCAGAGGTTGTCTTTGAGGATGCCTGCCACAGATGTAGGTGAAACGTCAGGAGGGAATGCTTCTGGAACATGGCTATACAGCCCAGAAAACTTAGCAACCCAGTGATTCTGGCCATGAAAGCCTTCAACAACTCCTCTTGCTGTTTGCATTACTGTGTCACTATCTCTTCCTCACACAATGTCTCCATCTGCTTAGATCAGGGGTCCTCAAACTAAGGCCTGGGGGGCGGATGTGGCCCTTCAAGGTTATTTACCCGGCCCTCGCTCAGGGTCAACAGTCTATAATGACTTGAAAGCACATAATAGCAAGAACAAAGAAGACAGTGCCATCTTGTCTTTAGCGTCATCAGTTGGGAGACTGCTGCTCTGGGACCAGAGTGAAGCGAGGGGCAAAGGAGGCAGTGCTATCTTGTCTTCAGTGTCATCGGTTGGGAGCCCCTCCCCCCAACACCAACTGCTGCTCTTGGACCAGAGTAAAGAGAGAGGTCTAGGAAGATGTTGTATTTATTTTATTTATTGTATTGTATATTACTTGTATGCCGCTCTGAGTCCCCTTCCGGGTGAGAATGGTGGCATATAAATGTCATTTATAATCCTATCTCATCAGCCAAAAGCAGCAAGGAGCTCCCAGTGGCGCAGTGGGTTAAACCCCTTTGTCGGCAGTACTGAAGACCGACAGGTCACATGTTCAAATCTAGGGAGAGCGCAGATGAGCTCCCTCTATCAGCTCCAGCTCCTCATGCAGGGACATGAGAGAAGCCTCCCACAAGGATGATAAAACATCAAATCATCCGGGCGTCCCCTGGGCAACATCCTTGCAGATGGCCAACTCTCTCACACCAGAAGCAAGTTGCAGTTTCTCAAGTTGCTCCTGACACTACAACAAAAGAAGCCAAAAGCAGGTCTGCACTTCCCACTGAAATACTAATAAATTTATATTTGTTAAAATTGTTCTTCATTTTAATTATTGTATTGTTTTTAAGTGGTTTTTGCACTACAAATCAGATATGTGCAGTGTGTGTAGGAATTCTGGCCTGGCCCAGTTTTATTGTGCCCTGGTGTATTGTTTTATTGCTTGTTGTTTAATAATGCTTTAATTGTTTTAATTTGCTTTAGGTTGTATTGTTATGTTGTGTTTTGAGGCCTTGGCCTTTGTAAGCCGCATCGAGTCCTTCGGGAGATGCTAGCGGGGTACAAATAAAGTTTTTTTAAAAAATCATTCATGTTTATTTCAAATTATAATCCGGCCCTCCGACAGTTTGAGGGACTGTGATATGGCCCTCTATTTAAAATGTTTGAGGACCCCTGGCTTAGATGATAGATGCAAGTGTGCAATCTTTTGATGCGCTGTATTTCATTAAACATCTGGCCACATATGACAGCCCTTTTGGGCAGGTTGCTACACAACACAGAAATCATGCATGGTAGTAAATAAAAGTTTACAGCATCAGTCAGCCATCAAATAGTGTTTCTTCTCCAAAACACTGTCTTTAGCTACTGCATGGTGGTTGATGCCCCCAAAACAGCAGCACATCCTGTGGAAACATAATTTTCATGACGCCTCGCCCCGTTATCTGCTGAAGCCATTCCTTAGCTGTCTCCCCTCAGGTTACACTGCTCTTGTCTAGGGAGGCTCTGTGGTTGCCATAGAAACCTGTCCCACTTAAGGCCTAAGCCGGCCTTTTGGAAGCTGCCAAGGCATGTTAACGTTGCCCCTCTTCCCCCTCACAGCCATGGCTGACTGTCCCGCTCCACTTTCATCTCCCCTTTCCTAGACTGCCTACAAAACATTTCCCCTCAAGGAAACCCTCCTTCGTCGCTTGCCTTACCTCCGCTTTGGCCGCCAGAATGGCTTCTATGGCCTGAAACCCCCGCCGTCCCCTCTTCCCTGCCCTGTCAGGTTGTCACGGAGATTACGATTGGTCCCATGCAACGCCTTTTCCGATTGGTTCACGCTCCGCCCTCTGGTTACGCCTTCGACCCACCTCCTGCCTCCTTTCCTTCTTTTTCATTGGCTGGAGCAGCTGCAGGAGCGAGCTCGCGCGCGGCCCCTCATTCGCTGTCGAGTAAGCCCTTTAAAGAGGATTGGCCAGGGCGGGTTGTGCAAGAATCGAATGTATGTGTTCTTGGACCTGGTCCTGTCAGTCGCTCAGACGGTGCTGAGCGCTTCGCGTGGGCGGAAGAGGCGCGTGCTCAGCCCGCATCACGTGCTCTTGGGAGGTGGGGGGGGGAGGATAGTTTTGATTGTGGCTCTTTTTCCCATTATATTGTAATATTAGTAATTTTACATCTATATAAATAAAAATGTAATGTTCGTTTGTGGGATTAACAGAACTCAAAAACCACTGGACTAATTGACACCAAATTTGGACACAAGACACCTAACAACCCAATGTATGTCCTTCACTCAAAAAAATTGACTTTGTCATTTGGGAGTTGTAGTTGCTGGGATTTATAGTTCATCTACAATCAAAGAGCATTCTGAACTCCACCAATGATGGAATTGAACCAAACTTGGCACACAGGACTCCCATGACCAAGAGAAAACACTAGAAGGGTTTGGTGGGCATTGACCTTGAATTTGGAGTTGTAGTTCACCTACATCCAGAGAGCACTGTGGACTCAAACAATGATGGATCTGGACCAAACTCTACACGAATACTCAATATGCCCAAATGTGAACACTGGTGGAGTTTGGGGAAAATAGAATCTTGACATTTGGGAGGTGTAGTTGCTGGGATTTATAGTTCACCTACAATCACAGAGCATTCTGAACCCCACCAACGATAGAATTGGGCCAAACCTCCCACACAGAACCCCCATGTGGGCCACACCAACGCGTGGCAGGGGACGGCTAGTCTTGAATATAATAAAAATGTAATGTTCGTTTGTGGGATTAACATAACTCAAAACCACTGGACGAATTGACACCAAATTTGGACACAAGACACCTATCAGGCCAACAAGTGACCATCACTCATGAAAAACACAGCAGAAGAGACTTAAAAAGCAAAAAAAAAAAAAACCATTACAACGCATGCAAAACCACATATATACACAAACACACATACACAAATATATATAACACACATATATGCATATAATACACACAAAACATATACACAGAAAGGGGGAAGAAAGGAAGGGAAAGAGGTAGAAAAGAAAGAAGGAGAGAAGGAAATAAAAAATGAAAGGAAAAGAAGAGGAAGGAAAGAAGGAACGAAAGAATAAAGAAGGAAGGAAAGAAGAAGAGAGAAAGAGGGACAAAGAGCAAAGAAGGGGGAAAGAAACAGGTAGAAAGGAAGAAGAAAGAAGGAAAGAGAAGAAGAGAGGGAAGGAAGGAGAAGAAGGAAGGAAGAAAGGAAGGAAGGAAGGAAGGAAGGAGGAAGGAGAAGGAAGGAAGGAAGAAGGAAGAGGGAGGGAAGGAAGAAGAAGAAGAAGAAAGAAAGAAGAAAGAAAGAAAGAAAGAAAGAAAGTGGGAAGGTTTGGCCACAGTCACTCATAAAAAAACTAATTATTTAACTTACCTGCTTAGTGCAAATTAAGATGGCTCCCGCTATTTCTAATGGTGGGAAATGGCACCCATAGCACAGGCCCTCGCCTCTCCCAGCCCCCCTCCCCCACTTATTTCAGTAATTATGGTCAATTAGAAATCCATGACACCCCAGAACAGTAGATTGGATGATGATTGCTGTGGTTATATGGTTGCTGGCAATGGAGAGCTTCTGTTCTACAGTCTCAAGTGTTTGCATTACTTAGCCCTCCTGTGTTGATGCTTATGATGTGGCTGAGTGCATGGACTTTCTTAGTGCCTTTGTCATAGGTGTTGTGATTGTATTTCACAGCTATCTATATATATATATATATTAGTTGCACATTCTTTCAAGAGTATCAGGAGGGGAACCTTTGGAGCATTCAAATCTGCACACCCAATTTCCAAGCAGTTGGCTCTTTCTGATGTGTAGTCTCCCACTGTATCTTGTTTTCAGTGGGACTAAACATTTGCTACGAGGCAGAAATGGTTTTGTTGTTCATTCGTTCAGTCATTTCCAACTCTTCGTGACTTCATGGACCAGCTCATGCGAGAGCTCTCTATCGGCCGTCACCACCCCCAGCTCCTTCAAGGTCAATCCAGTCACTTCAAGGATGGCATCCATCCATCTTGCCCTTCGTCGGCCCCTCTTCCTTTTTCCTTCCCTTTTCTCCAGCATCCTTCCCTCCAATGAGCAGTCGGGCTTTATTTCCTGAAGTATGGACTGGTTGGGTCTTCTTGCAGTCCAAGGCACTCATCTATCTTCCTTTGGCCATCTTCCGACCTGGGAGTCCCATCTTCCGATGGCATACCAACATATCTCTGGTTGTTCTGGTCCATTTAGTTTTCTTGGCAAGAATATTGGGGTGGTTTGCCATTGCCTTCTCCAAGGATTGTGCTTGGTCTGACCTCTCTGCCACAACCGTCCCGTCTTGGGTGGCCCTTCACGGTTTAGCTCGTGACATCATTGAGGTGCTCAAGCTCCAGCGCCATGACAAGACGGTGATCCTTTGCAGAGATGGTAAGCTAAATAAATTAAAACTTGTGCGCCAGCTGCGCCCGTACCTTGGGAAGTCTGACTTGGCCACGGTGGTCCACGCTCTGGTTACATCCCATTTAGACTACTGCAACGCTCTCTATGTGGGGTTGCCTTTGAAGACAGCTCGGAAGCTTCAATTAGTCCAACGAGCGGCAGCCAGATTACTAACAGGAGCGGGGTACAGGGAGCATACTACTCCTCTGTTGCGCCAGCTCCACTGGCTGCCAATTAGCTTCCGAGCACAATTCAAAGTGCTGGTGTTAACCTATAAATCCCTAAACGACTCCGGCCCAGTTTACCTGTCCGAACGGATTCTCCCCTATGAACCATCAAGATTGTTAAGATCGTCTGGAGGGCCCTGCTCTCGGTCCCACCAGCCTCGCAAGCGCACCTGGTGGGGACGAGGGACAGGGCCTTCTCGGTGGTGGCCCCTCGGCTCTGGAACTCTCTCCCACTGGAGATTAGAACTGCCCCGTCTCTCCTGACTTTTAGAAAGCTGGTGAAAGCTTGGCTCTGGAATTTAGCATTTGATGAGTGAGTCAATAACTCGTGACTACACGGACGGATGGTGATGAACTACGATTTTATTTTGACGACTTGGCCAATGTAATTATATGATTGTATTTTAGTATTTTAATGTTTTAGTGTATTATGGGATGTGATGTTTTTAAATGATTGTCTGTGTTACTGTTGTTGTGAACCGGCCTGAGTCCCTCTGCGGAGGTGAGAAGACCGGTATATAAAAGTTCTAAATAATAATAATAATAATAATAATAATAATAATAATAATAATAATAATAATGGGAACAACTCTTCTGATATGGCTAAATGGACAAATTTAAAGTTTTATCTTAAAGTATGGGATGTTTGTTGGATGCACCAAGGCCTCGTCATTAGGAATCAGGAGACACGTGTGAAACTAAAGTAATAACATATTTTATGTGATATATCATAAGTCTGTAGAAACACTTTCAAAGTGAAGGATAGGGAAAAGAGACACATTATATCTGCTGTGAATAGATAGCATATAAATTGGTGCTGCCCATGGCAAGCCAGCAAAGTATCAGACTGCTACACCTGTATCAGGGCCAACCCATGACATTTTCTGGCAAAGATGGAATGTTAATTGGTTTCTCCACCCACCTAAGTTAAGGTACACATTAGCTAAAACCAGGCAAGTCATCCTGGTGTATCTTTTCCCATCCTTAGCAGAAAAGCAATCTCAAAGATGAATTAACAATTTCTGGAAACCAATATGACTTTATTCTGGGTAACAGTGAAGCGGTTGCCAGTGGTGTGTATTTTTTGGTGGTCAGGATTTACATACCACCAAAAACATGCAACAGAAAACTGCACTCCCCCCCTTCCAGGTCCATACACCCCTGGATTATTTAGCTGCATAGACAGTCCTTTTTCCAAAATATATGCATGATGCTTATTGGTACATGGCTATTACCATTTACATGTGTGCAGAGTACTTCATTATTGGTACATGGCTATTACCATTTACAGTGTTCAGAGCACTTCATTAATAATCCTGCAAAGGAGGATCTTATTCCTATAATTGCAGATCAGATAAGGCTGGGAAGTAATGACCGTAGGGGCAATTATTGTTGCTGTTCTGCACCTTCAAGTTGTTTCCAATTTATGGCAACACTAATATAGGATTTTCTGTGGCTGCAATCATATGAATCATCCGGTTACCTTCCAAGGCTATGCATGGAACTGAACCTTGGTCTCCACAGTCATAGTGCAATGCTGAAGCCACTACCCAGCCTTATTCTCCAGGGCAGTGATTCTCAACCTGTAGGTCCCCAGATGTTTTGGCCTTCAACTCTCAGAAATCTGAACAACTGCTAAACTGGCTGGGATTTCTGGGAGTTGTAGGTCAAAACACCTGGGGACCCACAGACTGAGAACCACTGCTCTAGGGGAAAGGACATGTCAGAAATTTTGCTTACTTGCTCCAATAGACTAGCTCAGATATAGTTGGCCAGATTTAAGGAAAGGCCTATTTCATTAGTTACCAATGCTACCTCCTATCTGAAATTTCTTTCTAGATCAAGCGTAGTGAAAGAATATTATTAGAGAAAGATCTCAGAGAACATTTTCAAATAACCTTCTCCAAGAATGATCTCTGTCCCTTATCCTTCCCACCCCTTAAGATGACTTTCAGATTGTTCCAAAGCACTTTTGTATTAATTACATATAACGGTTTTCTCCGCTCATTTGTAAGCTGGCTTCTGCAGCTTTTACACCACACAATGTGTTTAGGTGGGTGTGGATCAACAGGGCAAATGAGGGCACTTGTGTGGGAACATAAGCAGCACTTAGCAGAAAGTACTGCAAGCCAAAAGATGGCACAAAAGTTTCAAAAAGAGTTGTCTTCCCAACTAAATAATCTTGCAAACAGAGTGGGTCTGGAGGGCGGTTCTCTACTCCAGGATCTAAACATACTGCTAAAAATTAGAACAATCTGGAAGTGACCAGAAATCCAATTCTGATTTTGTAAAATAGGAAGGGTTAACAAAGGAAAGGAAAGTTGAGGACTGCAACTGTAGCCTTAGTACATGCTCTTCACTCACCCCTGTGCTAGTAAGCTATGTAACATGACCAAAATGAGAAAAAAAGCGCTGTTCCCAAAGTAGGTATTGGATATAGAAACAAATGTCTGTGAAATTCTGGAACCAAGCAAACAAATTAGAATGCATTGACTGGATGACGGAGAAGTGTGGGCGAGTTCTGATATCTAGTATAACCTCTTAAGTAAAAGGAAGTATGACAGAGTTAGTCCATCGGTTAAAGCTTGTAGACTTGCACAGGGACCATTTCAGAGAATAAATACATGCTCACGTAACTTTCCTAATAGCAACACTTGAAGTCCAGGGAGAGGTGGAAGACAACAGATAGAAAAGGGCAGGAATTCTAACGGAAATCAAACATAATTGTGTGCAATAATGTATTACTTGCATTCAGAAATATATAAGGACACAGACTAACACTAATTGCCTTCACCAGCACAAGAACCCTTTGTTTTTCCATCTATTTGTATTGGAGCTTGCATAAGCCATCACTGCTAGGACAAAACACCTGGAAGACAAATACGAGTCTACATCTGTTAACAAAGGAGATGCGTTCTTGAGACTTAGTTCTTTAACCAAGGAAAAACACAAAATATATGGAAAGACCAACAGAATAGAGAAGGCCAATGTGCGCACCTCTGCTGATTGCAATTCCCATGGTCCTTCACCATTTTATTGGTGGCTATAGCTATCAAAAGTCCAAGTTCTGTAGGACTACACACTGCCCACACATGGGGTCCATTCCTACACTTAGAACTTATTGCAACTGTGTGTCTTCAAGTTGATTCTGACTCATAGAAGTCCTATTGTGGGGGTATTCTTAGCAAGATTTGTGTGTGTGTGTTTTTTTTGGGGGGATGCCATTGCTTTCTTCTAAGGCTGCGAAAGTATAACTTTTCTACTGTCATCCAGTGGATTTCCATGACTGGGTGGGGAATTCAATCTCTGGTCTCCCAGTCCAGTCCAAATATTGAATCACTTCACAACAGTTGCTCTGTAACTACACAATCACAACGCTATATTTCCACTTTAATTGAATCATGGGGTTTGTAGTGCTGTAAAGCATGAGAGCTCTCTGACTGAGAATTTTAAAGGATTCTCATTAAACGGTGTGTCCCAAGAGTCCACAGAATGTTACCATGGTGTACTTGAAAGCAGCCAGATGCCACAGCTATTTTTTTCTAACTGAAACCAGTTTGTTTCTCCAATACCTCACGCTGAAACAACAATAGGTCACACATAATGGAAGACGAGACACAGAAATGCTTGAGAAGCATAACTATCATTACACTAAATGACCTAACAAGTCTAACAAGGACAAATTTGTTTAAATTAATTTTCCTCGCCTTCCCCCAGAATATTCAAGACAGTTTGCAATCTGCTTTGGTTTCCAAAAAAAGAACTATTTAATTGATTGCGCCTATTATAACTGGTCAATCCTCTTACTTACAAGCATCTGTAATAGAAACAGACCACAGGGTGCATTAAAATACTACAGACCGTTTTTGTTACTAAAAGACGTATTTGTGCCGGTCACAGAGAAACAGCAAACTGACTTATAGAGCCCTACCCACTTTTCCATCTAGCCCAGTATGGCAAATAGTTCTCTAACTTTTCAGCCACATATTTTTCCAGTTCTATCTGAAGATATCAGGGGCTGAACCTTGGATACTTACTACAGTTACTACTGAGCTATAGTCTTCCCAGGACACATTACAAAACCACAATTTATTCCAGTGTATAACATGGAACAGGAATTTGTTTTCTTAATAAATATTAATGCTAAATCGGAGGAAGAGCAGGCAGAACTCAATTGCTTTCATTGTTTTAGGAAGGTCTTTTTAAATCTCTCCTAGGTAAGACAGCTTAACCTGAGACATTAAGGGAAACAACTGAGACTTTACACCAGCACCTCATGTTCTCTACTACTGGACTATGCACCCTGCCCTTTTTCAGGCAGCCAATTTCAAAAGGAGACACAAAATGAATAATTTGAATCTCAAGTGAAAGAACAGCTTGCACCTATTGACTCCATTCCAATTTAAGCTATTTTATTTGCTCAAAAGCCATAACTGGTTGCCAAACAAAAATACAAAATATAACAGCACATTTGTAACTATCACACCAATTGGCATGCCCCTGACAAGACAGAAGGCCAACCTGCCATGCCAACCTCTTGTGAAATTGCACTCTGATCCCCTAAAATGCTTGTTTTCAACCAGTGGCAATGCTGAAAGGTTTGGGGGGAAGGGGGTGTTTGGAGATAGTGAACAAAAACTCCAGTCAAAAAGCTGCTCATACAATTTTGGAAGTGTCTAAGTGTGCAAAGCACATTATTGCAGAACAGTTGGTAGGAAAGAAGGGGAAGACAAAGGTTGGCAGGGGCTATCTGCTTTACAGATAATCTGGCCAAAGCTTCAGGGGTTTCCTTTGTCTTCCTCAGAGCTCTCCTTTGGACATTCTTCATAGGCGCCTTCAGGTTTGTCACCATTCTCTCCTCCTTCTGCCCCTCGTGCATTTGGTACCCACAGGCCAGAATCAATGCACCGCTGCATGTGGTATTTCGCTTCCTGCAATGGAACACAGAATGTTAAAGGCCATAAGCTGATTATACTTTCAATCAGTGCTTCTCAAGCTATCTGATGTTGAGAACGGGCAAATTTCCCCAATATATTAAGGACTGGCACTGTATTTGTTCCCATTGAGTATATTTATTTATTTACTTACTTACTTACTTACTGTATTTGTATACCACCTTTCTCAGCCAATTGGCGACTCAAGGCGGTTTCCAACAAATCAGTATACATAAAACATAATATAGATAAAAAACATTAAACAGTATAAGACAGGGGTCCTCAAACTAAGGCCCGGGGGCCGGATACGGCCCTCCAAGGTCATTTACCTGGCCCTCGCTCAGGGTCAACCTAAGTCTGAAATGACTTGAAAGCACACAACAACAACAGCAGCAGCAGCAGCAGCAGTAACAGCAACAGCAATCCTATCTCATCAGCCAAAAGCAGAGCCACACTTCCCATTGTAATACTAAGTTTATATTTGTTAAAATTGTTCTTCATTTTTATTATTGTTGTTTTTAAGTGGTTTTTGCACTACAAATAAGATATGTGCTGTGTGCATAGGCATTCATTCATGTTTTTGTTTTGTTTTTCAAATTCGGTCCTCCAACAGTTTGAGGGACTGTGACCTGGCCTTCTGTTTACAAAGTTTGAGGACCCCTGGTACAAGACATCAAAAGCAGTAAAAACACATCATCAGTGTCTCATTATTCTCAAGCACTGTCCAATTCCAATGTCAGGTCATTCGATTACCTATATTAGCTACTCTGCATTTGTAAACGCTTGCTTGAATAGCCACGTTTTAACTTGCTTCCGAAATGTCAAGAGGGAGGGAGCAGATCTGATCTCCCTAGGGAGGGCGTTCCATAGCCGAGAGGCCACCATTGAGAAGGCCCTGTCTCTCGTCCCTGCCAAACGTACTTGTGACAAAGGCGGGACCGAGAGCAGGGCCTCCCCAGATGATCTTAAAGTCCTCAGTGGTTCGTAGGGGGAGATACGTTCGGACAATTATCCCTCTCAATCCCACAAACTCACCAGACACCAGCAGCCTATGACTAAGGGACTGGCACTCAGGTCAATACTGCTTTAGATAACCGAAGAATTCTAACGATTTTCATGGTCCCACTTTGGACTTCTCAATTACACAAATTAAATTATTATAATAAATCTAAAAGCCTTGAAAAATACTTGGAACATACTCAGTTGCAACTTGATACCCACTTAGTTGGAAGCAAGCCCTAACTGGAATGAATGGGATTCATTACACTGTTGGAATGTATACAGTTGCTCTGTAAAAGGCTTTCTTGTTTTCAAGACATTAATAGGGTCCGGAAAGAAAGACAAGAATTATGGAAGTAGACAAGTGATAGAGCTAAAGCTTGCGATTCCCAAATGACTGTAAGCATTTCCCTAGATCATAATATTCACATATATTGGTGACTAACTATCCCCTGCCACCTGTTGCTGTGGCCCACTCTCGTGAGCTGGAAAATAAAGTAATGAGAAAGTGTTGGTTTCTAATATATGTAATGCTTGTGGGTTGAAAGTATTTCTTGCTGTGTCTTTGTCAGTGTTGATGTAGAGATTGTCTAGTTTGCCTACTCTGGAACATACAACATATATTGTCCTTCTTTAGGGGTCCCTTTCAAATCTACAATATTATATCTCTCTGTGTGTGTGAGTAATAACTATCTATCTATATCTATGGCTGGATGGCTCTTTATCAGGAGGGCTTTGATTATGTTTTCTTGCCCTGGTGAAGGGAGTTGGACTGGATGGACTTAAGTATTTCCTGTTGGTCATGGGGGTTGTGTGGGAAGTTTGCCCCAATTTTGTCATTTGTGGGGTTCAGAATGCTCTCTGAGTGTAGGTGAACTATAAATCCCAGCAACTACAACCCCCAAATGTCAAGGTCTATTTTCCCCAAACTCCACTGTGTTCACATTTGGGCATATTGAGTATTCATGCCAAGTTTGATCCAGAACCATCATTGTTTGAGTCCATAGTGCTCTCTGGGTGTAGATGAACTACAACTCTCAAACTCATGGTCAATCCCCACCAAACCCTCCTAGTGTTTTTTGTTGACCATGGGAGTGCCACGTTTGGTTCAATTCCATCATTGTGGAATTCAGAATGCTATTTGATTGTAGGTGAACTATGAATCCCAGCAACTATAACTCCCAAGTGGCAAAATCAATTTTTGAGTGATGGTCACTCCTTGGGTTAGTAGGTGTCTTGTGGCCAAATTTGGCGGCAACGCGTCCAGTGGTTTTTGAGTTATGTTAATTCCACAAATGAACATTACAATTTTATTTATATAGATTGCACACTATCACAGTGTTTCTGTGCAGAGACTGTCAGGAATAAACCGATCAGAAAACGCAAAGTGGCTCCTTGTTTTATTCCTAATTAAACTTGCTGATAGCTCAAAAACTATGTGAACTAGGAAAAAATCCAAGTTCCTATAACAGAAATGACAAAATACCAAAATGGTTTTTGAGTTATGTTAATCCCACAAACGAATATTACAATTTTATTTATATAGATTGCACACCAATCCTGTATAAGCAGAAAACCTAGAAGAGTATTTGAGCTTTACAGCAGTAAATTACATTACGAAAATGATAATACATAGGGACAAGTGTAATTTTGCATGTGTGTATATAGAAAGAATTCCTGGGAAAGGGACCCGTCTTTGTCCTCATGCTCACAGCAAGGCCCATTTCTGATTTGTTTAGAATAATGTATCATGGGAGAATGGGGGGAGAGAGCATGCACATAACTCAATAAGAAGGAGTGATATATCTTGCAGCAGTTTGGACACAATTGGAACAGAGAGGACAGTTCATCACACAGCTCTGAGGATACTCACAGCAGGATCCATGTTCTTAATAGCATCCTGAAGCATCTGCACATCTTTCACATCAAAGCATTTCTGGAGTTCCTGGGAAGAGAAAATTGCAGTGTGGTTAGCAGAGGGGATAATCTGCTTAGATAAACAAAGCCTATTTCATTGCTCTATGTCATGGTACGAAATACTGTTAGGGCGCACTACCTGGGGAATGTAAATCAGGCCCCTGTGAGGGCATCTGCCCAATAGCATTTTCTTGCTTCAGACCTGCTGCTTTAGCTGTGAGTCACATTTCACACTGAGAGAGGGAGCAGATAAAGGAAGGAAGTAATGGGAGGGAATGCCCTGTAATACCATCTTGTACTGAAAGCGCAAGCAGAGGTTTTCAAAGCTCACAGCAAGAGCATATGCTTTCCAAAAATGACATTACAGTGCAAATCCAAGCAGAGGAAAAAATCTGTCCAGGAACTGCCAGTTATTGCAGACAGTAGTATGCTGAAACAAACCAAGTCAAATTTGTATTCAGCCATCTGTGAGACCTGTTGCTTCACCAGAGTGCAAAAACAGGAACCAGGCATATTGCAAACTTGACCACAAATGGAATATCTAGTTTGACTAGAAACACTAGCCGTCCCTTGGCACCCGTTGGCCCACTCTGTGTATATGTGTTTTGTATGTGTATATGTGTGTATTTATATATTTGTGTATATGTGTATTTATGTGGTTATGCGCATGCGTTGTAATGTATTTTTTTTTGGCTTTTTAAGTCTCTTCCGCTGCGTTTTTCAGTGTTTTTATGAGTGACTGTGGCCAAACCTTCCCTCCTTCTTTCTTTCTCTCCTTCCTTCCCTCTTTTTCTTTTCCTTCTTCTTTCCCTTTTTCTTTCTTCCTCTCTACCTGTTTCTTTCCTCCCTTCCTTTGCTCTTTGGTTCCATCCTTCCTTCTCTCTTTCCTTCCTTTTATTAATGATTATTATTAACATTATTTATACCCCGCTAACATTAGCCGAAGGACTCGGTGCGGCTTAGAAGAGGCCAAGGCCCAACACATCAATAAAACAACAGCATAACAAATACAACAATAAATAAACTCATAAAACAAAGCAATAAACATTAAAACAATAACACCACGACGCATTTAAAACTAAAGGCTGGGCCAAATGTAATGAACAAAATTTAAAAAGTGCTGGACATGACAGGTGAAATAGATAGGTTTTTACTTCCTTCCCCTCTTTCTTTCTCTCCTTCCCTCCCTCTTTCACTTTTTTATTTCCTTCTCTCCTTCCCGCCTTCTTTCCCTCTTTCTATCCCTTCTTCTCTTCTTCCTTTCTTACTTCCTTTCCCCTTTCTGTGTATATGTGTTTTGTGTGTGTATATATGTGTTCGTATGTGTGTTTGTTTATATATGTGGTTTTGCGCATGCATTGTAATGGGGGTGTTTTTTGAAGTCTCTTCTGCTGTGTTTTTCAATGTTTTTATGAGTGATGGACACTCGTTGGCCTGATAGATGTATTGTGTCCAAATTTGGTGTCAATTCGTTCAGTGGTTTTTGAGTTATGTTAATCCCACGAACAAACATTACATTTTTATTTATATAGATATATATATAGGTAGCAAGATCACAAATGCAACTGCCTTCCCCAAGAACCTTTTATTCCATATACAGTGATATCTTTAGAGTTTATTTCATTCCATGACCAAGCTCTTAGCTCAAAATGCTCTTATCTCAAAGCAAATTTTCCCATTGAAATGCACCAAAATGCTATTCATCCATTCCGCTCCCATCATTTTTATGTGTTTTTAAGTAAGAAAATGTACCTTAACAAATAATGTATAAATGCACATTCATGTGGAATAATATAAAGAAATAGCACCTTTAAAATGGTAGAAGCACACAGTTGTTGCACAATGGTAGATGCTAAAAATTGTTGTGCAAGTAAGTACAAAGAACAAAGTGAAGAGGTAGAAGCATCCTTTTTGTCATACTGTACTCAATCCCGTCTTTTTATGAAGCCAAACATACCAGGAATAAAAACCACACAAAATCAACTAACCCAAAGTTCCTCAAAGCAGGTAACAATCTCCCAACGCGGACAAGAGCAAAGGAGACAGCAATATCCCAAAGCGGTCAAGAGCACAAAGCTCAAGGCATGGAGGCGGCTCCCTTGAAGCCCTAAAGTCCTATACTCCTGCGCCAGCGCTCCCTCTTAACCCAAAACACTGCTCTTACATCAAAGCAAAACCCAGGTCGAGCGACAGCCCTTAACTCAAAACACTCTTAAATTGGAGTGGTGTTAAGTAAAGGTTCCACTGTATGTATATGTGTGTGACTATTTATATGTATGAGTGTGTGTGTTTGTGGTAAAGGTTTCCCCTTGACATTACGTCTAGTCGTGTCAGACTCGGGGGGGGGGGGGGGGGGGGGGGGGGGGCTCATCTCCATTTCTACGCCGAAGAGCCGGCGTTGTCCATAGACGCCTCCAAAGTCATGTGACCAGCATGACTGCATGGAGTGTCATTACCTTCCCGCAGAAGCGGTACGTATTGATCTACTCACATTTGCATGTTTTCAAACTGCTAGGCTGGCAGAAATGTGTGTGTGTGTGTGTAATAAAAGCTTCTTGGGGGCTGTTAGGTTTGCAATTTTGGTAACTATGCTAATAAGACAGATAAGAACACAAATGTTTTTGTCATCTTCAATAGTCCCAGGACTGAGTACTTGTTACAAGACAGCACTGAACAGCCAAGAAACACAAGTTGGCTTGCCATTGCTGCTTTCACATACATTATACTGTCAGCCCTCCATATCCACTGGTTCTTCATGCATGGATTTAACCATTCATGGCTAAGGGAAAGGGGGGGGGGAGCAAACTTTGATTTTGCCATCTTATATAGGGCACACCATTTTACTATACCATTATACAGAATGGGACTTGTGCATCCATGGATTCTAGAATCCATAGCGAGTCCTGGAATCAAACCTCAGTGAATACCAAGGACTCGTTATACTTTCAACACAAAAGGGTTGATTTTATGCAGCAAGGATGGAAACCGACTAGATATTGATGGAACTGCAACTTCCAGCAATCCTCGCCGGTGTCTACACTAGCTGATAGCTGCACTTCAATATCTGGAGGGCTACAGAGATGCCACCTCTGAGTATGAAGCTTGAGATCATCAACTGTTTGACACTTGCTAGCAATACTCACAACTGGGAGTGTCTCGTAAACTTCCACTGGATCAAGGCCACCCGGCCCCAAGCGTTTCTGGCGCTCTTCTTCCTCATATTCTTTCATGGCTTTTTCAATACGCGCCTTAGCCCGGCCTCGCACTCTCTCCTTGAATGATTCTAGCTCATCATTAAAGCCTTCCATGTACTGTTGGTCAGCAGTCTGGGTGGAATTTGGGAAGAGGGGGAAAAGAAAGTGTGAACACAAAATTATTGAGATGATTTCCCATCCTTTGATATAGGATTAAAGTGAGTCACACACACTCTCTCTCTGTTAAATTAATTATATCTCTGCTTCCAGTATGAGATACACAGCTCTCTACAAACCATTCTTTTCATACTCTGTTCACAGTGAGCACAAAGTATCTTATATTTTTCACACAGATTGAAAATTTTAATAATAATAAACTTTATTTATACCCCGCCACCATCTCCCCGATGGGGACTCGGAGCGGCCTACATGGGGCCAAGCCCGAACAACATATTACATCAAGATAAAACCAAAACATAAACAACAAGCAACATCATCAAAAATATATTTAAAAAATCAATAACAAAATAGCATTACAATAAACAAAAAACATAGACATAGTAAACAGTGGGCGGGCCACATGTACAGGATAAAATGTTAAAAACTATAATGAGATAAAAATAGGAGCAAGTTATTTGCTGGGAGCTCATAAAGATACACAAAGTTGTGAAACTAAACTTCCCCTTTTGGGGGGGGGATGTATTTCAGTGATAGAAGAATTGGGGGAGCAATAGTGTCATGTTGTACACCTACTCGCCAAAGGCGCAGCGGAAGAGCCAGGTTTTAAGGTTCTTTTTAAACGTTTCTAGTGTAGGGGCTTTCCTGATCTCTCCAGGTAATGGGTTCCAGAGTCGGGGAGCCACAGAGGAGAAGGCTCTTTCCCTTGTGCCCACAAGACGAGTCTGTGAGATTGGCAGGGGCGAAAGGAGGGCCTCCCCCAAGGATCGAAGGGCCCGGGTTGGTTCTTGGAGAGAGATACGGTCACGAAGGTAGGCGGGTCCCAAACCATTTAGGGCTTTGTAGGTGGTAACCTGCACCTTGAATTGGGCCCGGAAATTTTTACTCAAGATAAAGCCTCCAAGGGGGGGGGGGGGGGGGGAGTCATGTGGTCTTTCAGATGTTGCTTGATAGCAATTCACAGGATACCTCACCATGTCCATATTGGCCAGGGCTACTGGAAGCTGCAGTCCAAACATCTAAAGGGCTGCATTGTGCCAACCCCAAACCAGAAGGTGGCCATTTTTTCTACATCAAGCTGCTATCACAACATTACTCTATGGCCTCTGTGGCATGAAATGTTATTCATTAAGACACAGTGGTAACAAAACATTTTGGTGGCAGGGTTGAGGTCTGCATGGATCTATTAAAACTTTATATATATACACACACACCTAATTTTTACTCTCCAAACTTAATCACACAGTATAACACAATTGTGTTCTGTAATTAACCTTTTTGTAAACTCTGCTTACATTTTCAATTTGAAAACACCCCCATAAGGAGATCTGCATTGCTTGCATTTGAGAAACCATGTGCAAAATGTACTTTCTCTTGGTGGGATATATTTAATAAATGCATACATGGTGGAAAACGCAGTGTGTGTGTGTGTATATTTTAAGATATGCACGATTTTTAAAATTACTCCCAAATGGATGTAGTAACAGGGTTGGAGCCACCGGTGGCGCAGTGGGTTAAACACTGTGCCGGCAGGACTTAAGACTGACAGGTCGCAGGTTCAAATCCGAGGAGAGGCGGATGAGCGCCCTCGGTCAGCTCCAGCTCTTCATGCGGTGACATGAGAGAAGCCTCCCACAAGGATGATAAAACATCAAATCATCCGGGTGTTCCCTGGGCAACGTCCTTGCAGACGGCCAATTCTCTCACAACAGAAGCTATGCTTCTGACACGACCAAAAAAAAAAAAAATGAACAGGGTAGAACCTATTTTAGCTATGAAAATCAAACTAAAAAAAAACTCGACATATTTGTGCAGTATATTCTGGCTTACTCAGTAAATCTAAAGAATAATAAGCACTGAGGACTGTGAACTTCGATCCACACACACCACTAGCTGCAAGACAGGTTTAGCAATGAAGCAAGTGAAATTAAGCTTTAGTTTGCTGTCTCTACAGAGGGTGGACTTAATCCCCTCCCACACTGCCATCCCCTTTTCCTTTTGTGTCATATTTTAGTTTCTAAGCCTGAGGGTAGGGAACTGTTTTGTTGTTCTTTTAGTTGTAAAGCATCATGTAAGGGAATCATGCTATAATACTGTTTTGCAGCCGACTAGATAGCTACTATTTTGAAGGAAGTCTCTCCGGCCCTACCCCCGCCCTCCAATTACCTGAGAATAATAATAATAATAATAATAATAATAATAATAATAATAATAATACTCCCGAAGGGACTCAGTGTGGCTTACATGAGGCCAAGCCCACAATACATCAGCAAAACAACAATAACAGCAATACAAAACAATAAAATGAAACTCATAAACAAAAACAAGCAGTAAGCATTAACAATAGAACAACATCGCTTAAAAACCTATGGCTGGGCCAAATGTAATAATTAAAAATTTAAAAAATAATGCTGAGCATGACCAGGTGAAATATATAACTAGGATAGAATTTCGGAGAGGAAAGGGCGTGCAGACAATCCTAGATCACTGATAAAGTGCATTTAGGGACATACTGCTGGGAGTTTCCCTGAGTAGGAGGCATACCTTGATTTTAGTGAAGAATTGCCTGAAGCAAGCTCTAGGATCAACCTTCAGGCTCTTGGCCAGCTCCAGAATGAACTGCATCTCTATAGTCTGGTGAGCTACCTGCTCCATCAGGGCATGTTTCTAAATAAATTGACAGAAGAACAGTTGGAATTTTAGATGCATACATACACCTCAGTAATGCATGCATTAAAAACCTACCACAGAAGCAAATTTATTCTCACTTTGGCGGACCAGTAACCTACTTTCTCACCTTTAACCTATAGTGATCACTGTATCTGGCATTACCTGGGTTTGCATTTTCTTTGTGTCTCTTTCTTTTCTTCCTCCCTTTCCCTCATATACTTCTTTCTTTCATTTCTTCTTTCCTTTCCTTCTTTTTTTGTGTGAGACCTCCCCACCAAACTATTTATTTATTTATTTAAAACTTTTGTATACTGGTCTTCTCAGGCCAGTTTCCAACAATAATATCACAAGCAAYCGTTTAAAAACATCACATTCTGTAATACACTAACACATTAAAATACCAAAAATACAATCATATAATTACAATGGCCAAGTCGTCACAATAAAATYGTTGTTCATCACCATCCATYYATATAGCCACGAGTTATTGACTCACTCGTCAAATGCCAGTTTCCAGAGCCAGGTTTTCACCTGTTTTCTAAAAGTCAGGAGAGAAGGGGCAGTTCTAATCTCCARTGGGAGGGAGTTCCARAGCYGAGGGGCMACCACCRAGAAGGCCCTGTCCCTCGYCCCCACCAGGCRCGCTTGCGAGGSTGGTGGGACCRAGAGCAGGGCCCCTCCAGACAATCTTAACAATCTTGATGGTTCATAGGGGAGAATCTGTTCGGACAGGTAAACTGGGCCGGAGTCGTTTAGGGATTTATAGGTTAACACTAGCACTTTGAATTGTGCTCAGAAGCTAATTGGCAGCCAGTAGAGCTGGCGCAACAGAGGAGTAGTATGCTCCCTGTACCCCGCTCCTGTTAGTAATCTGGCTGCCGCTCGTTGGACTAATTGGAGCTTCCGGGCAGTCTTCAGAGGCAACCCCACGTAGAGAGCATTGCCGTAATCTAAACGGGATGTAACCAGAGCGTGGACCACCGTGGCCAAGTCAGACTTCCCAAGGTACGAGCGCAGCTGGTGCACAAGTTTTAATTGTGCAAAAGCTCCCCTGACCACCGCCGAGACCTGGGCTTCCAGGCTCAGCGATGAATCCAGGATCACTCCCAAGCTGCGAACCTGCGCCTTCAGGGGGAGTGTAACCCCGTCAAGCACAGGCTGTAACCGTATGCCCTGTTCGGCCTTTCAAATGACCAGGAGTACCTCTGTCTTGTCTGGATTTAGTTTCAAAGCTCAGGAAACTTAACTTTTAAGCACAAAACAACCTGCCCTCCTGTCCATTCTGCCCCCTCTCTGCACAGGATGATATCAACCATCAAAATCTTTCAACAAATTCAAGAGGCGACCTTTTAGATCAGTGTCCTTTTGTGGCTGTATAGCAGGCTGCAAGACAGCCATGACCACCTCAGCAAGAATGACTGCAACAACACAGACATGAAATGCCTGCTGAAATGATGCCACTGGCCTGGGGCAACCTATTAAAACAGAACCAAGCAACTTTTTCAGTGTAGAAAAGCCACATTGGTTGTTAATGAGGTAGTCAACTATTATGCTGATAATTGCTAGGATCCACTTCACTTCAACACATCTAAATGTTCCAAGTCATAACCCGGAACCTTGAAAGTTAAGTTTGAAATAATATCAAAATGAAGAAAGCCTTCAAGAATCTGCCCAGCAGTGCCTCCTATTTCCACCACATCCTTTCATCAATCAGATTAATCTATCTAGATAGATCCAGTAGTCTTTTGCATTTTCCACTGCAGCTTTCAGAGAAGTTGCATCAGCCTCACTCACCTCTTCCACTTCCAGATCGATGCACCAGATGACTAAGTAATTGGCTGTCTCCTCACACACAAGATGGGGGTTATCGGATAGATATTTCTGGCTGTCATCCCAGCGCCGCAGCATTCCTTTGAAAAAGAAGTGAGAAACATCAGATCAGATTTTTTTTTCATGCAGGTACCAAAACCTCCATAGGGCTTTCAACTCAGAACTTGACATACTAATGACAGTAATGTAAGGTGTTACGTAGCAGAACAACATTTAACACTTTAACCTGAGGCCAGAAAAAGCAAATAGGATAGCTAGGGTTGTGGGGAGGAATGCATTAGGGATAAATATTAAATACTAGCGGTCCCTTGCCACACATTGCTGTGGCCCAGTCTGGTGATCTAGAAAATAAAGTAACGAGAAAGTGTTGGTTTCTAATATATGTAATTTCTTGATGTTTGAGAGTAAACAGTATTTCTTGCTGTTTCTTTGTCAGTGTTGATGTGGAGAGTGTTTGGTTTGCCTATTGTGGAACATGCAACATATAATTGTCCTTCTTTAGGGGTCCCTTTCAAATCTATGATACTATATCTGTGTGTGTGTAAATCATATATCTATCTATATCTATAGCTGGATGGCTCTTTGTCAGGAGGGCTTTGATTATGTTTTCTTTCCCTGGTGAAGGGAGTTGGACTGGATGGACTTAACTATGGGGGTTCTGCGAGGGAAGTTTGCCCCAATTTTGTCTTTGGTGAGGTTCAGCATGCTCTTTGATTGTAGGTGAACTATAAATCCCAGCAACTACAACTCCCAAATGTCAAGGTCTATTTCCCCCAAACTCCATCTGTGTTCATATTTGGGCATATGGAACATTCATGCCAAATTTGGTCCAGATCCATTATTGTTTCAGTCCACAGTGCTCTCTGGATGTAGGTGAACTACAACTCCCAAACTCAAGGTCAATGCCCAACAAACCCTTCTAGCGTTTTCTGTTGGTGTGCCATGTTTGGTTTAATTCCATCGTTGATGGAGTTCAGAATGCTCTTTAATTGCAGGTGAACTATAAACTCAGCAAGTACAACTCCCAAATGACAAAATCATTTTTTTTCAGTGAAGGACATGCATTGGGTTGTTAGGTGTCTTGTGTCCAAATTTAGTGTCAATTCGTCCAGTGGTTTTTTGAGTTCTCTTAATCCCACAAACGAACATTACATTTTTATTTATATAGATTAACTCTGTACACAAAGAATGCAAGATTCAGAGCAAGATAACAAATTCCTTGCACAGCGTACGCTTGGCTCCGGAAGAACTTCCCTGAAACAGCTCCTGGAACCTTACACTGTTGTGCCTTTGTATTTTAAGAAACCTTCTCTAATGTATTATTTACTAAAGAGTAGCAAGAAACTAGCAGCCTGCTACAACAAATGTAATCTGAATACATCAAGTGTAGACACATCACATATATGATTTGGGACCCGCCTACCTGCGTGACCGCATCTCCGTATATGAACCCACACGATCTCTCCGATCATCTGGAGAGGCCCTGCTCACGATCCCACCTGCGTCGCAAGCGCAATTGGTGGGGACGAGGGACAGGGCCTTCTCCGTGGTGGCCTCCCGACTCTGGAACTCTCTCCCCAAGGATATCAGACAAGGCCCAACATTGGCAGTCTTTAGGAAGAGCTTGAAGACGTGGTTGTTCCAGTGTGCCTTCCCACAATAGGAAACTCCTAACATCATGTCCCAATTGCACTTTACTAGAGATTAAGATTGTCTGCACACCACACCTATCTCCAAAAACCTATCCATCTCACCTGTCATGTTCAGCATTTTAAAATTTTAAGCATTACATTTGGCCCGGCCTTAGTTTTAAATGTGTCATGGTGTTATTGTCTAATGTTTATTGCTATTGTTTTAATGTTTATTGCTTGTTTTATGAGTTTATTTATTGTTGTATTTGTTATGCTGTTGTTTTATTGAGGGCCTTGGCCTTTGTAAGCCGCACCGAGTCCTTTGGGAGATGTTAGCGGGGTATAAATAAAGGTTTATTATTATTATTATTAACCCATGAACCCCAGCCTCAACAACTGTACCTGCAATAGCCCACATTGGCCTCGTGCAGTCCTTGTAATAAACACAGAGGCTGTGTGAACTTAGAACCCTTCTCAGTGCATCTTTTTATTTGCAAGTCTCCTCTAGAAGGGAACTCTGATTATGAAAATTGAGATGTCAACACAATCAAGAGACATTCATTCCATTCTAGAGATCCCAGACATGTTTATAGGGAACTAGCTGTCCCCTGCCACACGTTGCTGTGTGTTTTGTGTTTTGTGTGTGTGTATGTGTGTGTGTATATATGTGTGTATATATATATTGTGTATGTGTGCTTGTGTATATGCATATATGTGTTTATATGTGTGTATGTATGTGTATATGTATATGTGTGTAGGTGTATATGTGTATATTTGTGTGAGCTTGCGTATATTTATGTGTCTGTATGTATGTTTGCATGTGTATATATGTATGAATGTATTTGTTTATGTCTATATGGTTTATTTTGGGGGGGTTTTAAAGATCGTTCTGCTGGTTTTTTAAAATGTGTTTTTAGGAGTGATGGTCACTCGTTGGCCTGATAGGAGCTGTACTCTGAAAGAGAGTGTGGATATGCTATTGTGTATTTTGTTTGCCGGGGGAGTTGTTTTTACGCATGAGCTGTAGTGGCTTTTTGCTTTTTAAGTCTCTTCTGCTGTGTTTTCGGTGTTTTTATGAGTGATTGTCACTTGTTGGCCTGAGAGGTGTTTTCTGTTCATCAGGGGAGTCCTATGTGCCAAGTTTGGTTCAATTCCATCATTGGTGGAGTTCAGAATGTTCTTTGATTATAGGTGAACTATAAATCCCAGCAACTACAACTCCCAAATGACAAAATCATATTTTTTTTTTTTAGTGATGGTCACTCCTTATGTTGTGAGTCATTTTGTTGCCAAATTTGGTGTGATTTCCTTCATTGGTTCTTTTGTTTTTAAGGTACTCATTACGCACAGAGCATTTTTATATAGATAGATAGAAAAACTAGGGATCCACAAGACAATATATGATGACTCACCAAAATGTTTGATTTGCTTCTCATATTTCTCCACGAATGTTTTATGCTTCTTCTCTTTCTGTTCTTCGGACTCTTCCTGCTGCTCAGGCTTGACATTAAAAACACTCTGCAACAGCAAATGAAGCCTGATTAGTGCCACTCCTGTTACCTCCCTGTGGTCAAAGTTGGCAGGACAAAGTTGGCAGGCTGATGAGATATTTCTAAACAAGACAAAGAAGAAAAGGGACAACCCAGAAGAGAATGAAGAAACAAAGCAGAAGAACAGAACAGAACAAATTAAACAATTACACCAGTTCTGAAAGCCCCAAGCTTATGGCTCATCAAGGCAATTCAATCGACCCAAACAGAAGTCAGCAAGCTCTTAAGTGTCCCAGACTTTAATAAACAGCTTCTCATCTTTGATTCTATTAAGGAAGCAAGACCTGGCATTTGGAATGCTACCTCTGTAGCAGAGATGTAATAAATCCACCATCCACACTTTTGTGCAAGTTGCTTTTCAGCTTTAAGATGCGGGCAAGAGTCACCTTGCAGACAGTGTTTGTTCAAAACTCAGGATTCCCTTTTTCTTAGGAAAGGCTTAATACAGTGTTAGGCAACCTGATGCCCTCCAGCTGCTCTGGACTAGAAAAGAATTATGGGAATTGCAGCCTGGGGTTGGAATTGTACATCTTTCAAAGGAAGATGAACTTTAATACTCAGCAGCTGTAGTGATAATAGGGAATAACGGGGCTTTTGGGGAGTTGCAGTTCAACATTTGGAGGGCACACAATTCTCACCCCTGCTGTAGACGAAAACATCCAGACAGCATAAATTTGTGCACCCCCTAACCTAAAGAGAAGAGCTACAAGATCCTTTCCTAGGATCCCACTATTTCATGTGTTCTTTTTTCTCCTCCCTATCATTCCTTACTGCAGTGTAGGTAGAGGCAATCCTTTATGCCACAGTGTGATTTCCAATGCAGTCTAATCACTTTCGCGTGAAGTGGTCTGTGAACCAAAACAGGACTACAAAAACACAAAGAGGCACTGGATTGTTGTAGGTTTTTTTCGGGCTATATGGCCATGGTCTAGAGTCATTCTCTCCTGACGTTTCACCTGAATCTATGGCAAGCATCCTCAGAGGTAGTGTGGTCTGTTTGAACTAGGAAAAAGGGTTTATATATCTGTGGAATGACCAGGGCGAGACAAAGGACTCTGCTGGAGCTAGGTGTGAATGTTTCAACTGATCACTTCAACCAGAGAAATCAGCCATAGCAGAGCACCTGATGAACCAACCTGGACACAGCATTTATTTGAGAACACAGAAATGCTGGACCACTCTCACAACCACCATGTCAGGCTACACAGAGAAGCCATTGAAATCCACAAGAAGCATGTGGACAATGTCAACAGAAAGGAGGAAACCATGAAAATGAACAAAATCTGGCTACCAGTATTAAAAAACTCTAAAATTACAACAGCACAACAACAGAGAGGAAACAAACAAGGACATCTAATCACCTCTCAACAAAAGTTTGCCCAGGCACTGTCAGACCATTATATGCTAATCAAGGTGGTCAGTTGAAACATTCACACCTAGCTCCAGCAGACAAGAGTCCTTTGTCTCACCCTGGTCATTCCACCGATATATAAACCCTTTTTCCTAGTTCCAACAGACCTCACTACCTCTGAGGATGCTTGCCATAGATGCAGGCGAAACGTCAGGAGAGAATGCCTCTAGACCATGTCCATATAGCCCGAAAAATCCTACAACAACCCAGTGATTCCGGCCATGAAAGCCTTCGACGATAGAAAGAGGCACCTTTTGTAGCAGTCAAAAAGTTGTATCATCCAGCACTTTCCCCTACAACAGTGGGGAAACTTCAACTCCCAGAAATCCCAGCCATCATACTAGCTGTTAAGAACTGTGGGAGCTGAAGTCCAAAACGTATGGAAGACCAAAGGTTGGGAAGCACCGCCCTACAAACATGTCTAGTATCTCTCAAGAGTACACTCATGATCATCTAGAGAACTAAATTGCGCCATCTGGATATTCTGGCAACAATTCAAACAGCTATTCAGGCACAGGAACTATGCCAACTCAATGAGGTTGGCTTTTTCATTTGATTTCCAAAACACACTGAAAGCCAAAGAGTTTATACAACTATCATGATTTTTTTATCTGTAAAATATCTGTATCACTCTTTCATGGGACTCCACTGTAGGTATTTTAATTGCTTTAATTAAGGGTCTTCTATCTACTTCTCAAACTCTCAAGATATGCCCTGAGTTCTGGGGCTGTGGCCAAATATCTCACTGCAGCAAAGGGACAAAATACTAATCCTAGAAATTACTGAAGTGGAAATATGCATTTCACATAACTACACAGTTTGGGTTTTTTTTGTCGTGTCAGGAGCGACCTGAGAAACTGCAAGAAGCTACTTGCAACTACACAGTTTAGTTCTGAGGACAGACAGAAGGCTTCCCAGCTGCCAACGAACACAAATCCAACAAAGTTGTAAAACAGGACAAGAAAAGAAGAGAGAGAAAGCAGGCCCACCCCAACATGAGTTCAACCCACCTTACTGAAACCATCTTTGCTGAGAGTGTCCACATTCCACGGCATAGTCTTTTCCTTCTTCCTGAGATGATCCACTTTCTCTTCCCAGCTCTTTTCCTCTTTCTTAAGTTGCTGAGCCTCTGTCTGCAGCCGTTGCAGCTCACTTTTTGTACTTTCTGTGCTGGCCAATTCAAGTTCTTTCATCTTCCTCTGACATTCATTGAACTTCCTCTTGCACTCCCTGTATCCTTTGTCCACATCTTCTTTTTCCTTATGGAACTGTTCCATCCTTTCTAACCGGGCCTGGAAAATAGATTCACTTCAATCAACATATTGTAGTCGAATGAGGCATCCTACTATCAAAAAATTCCTTTTTATGGTAGAAATATGCTTCTTCAACACAGAAGATATTTGATACAAAGCTACCTGATACATTCCTTAATATCTTTTAACAGGATAGAAGCTATGTATTATTCTTTCTAATTTAAAAACCTTGTCTTTCCCAGGCCCCAACCACAAATCTTTTTAAACAACAAAGTTTTAAGATTTGACAGCCCCTTTTTTAGGCTGAAAAAGCTCCCCATGCCTTATACTTGAGCCAAGGTATTTATTATTTTACTCTATTATTATTACAATTATTATTTTACTCTATTATTATTACATTTATTATTTTACTCTATTATTACTACATTTATTATTTTACTTCTAATTTTAACTTTATATTTGGCCTACCCACAGTTTTAATTGTGTGTTAATTGCTACATTTTTAAATTTTTTATTGTTTGATGTTTTTATTTTAATTGCTTGTATCGTTGTTATTATTGCTTGTATTGTTGTATTTGGGCTCGGCCTCATGTAAGCTGCACCGAGTCCCTTGGGGAGATGGTAGTGGGGTACAAATAAAGTGTTGTTGTTGTTGTTATTGTTGTTATTATTATTATTACTCTATTTTTACTCTATTTATTATTGTTGTTATTATTATTCTGCTCTCTTTATTATTATTGGAAGGATTTACATTGAAGGAGGCTAGAATAATGGTTTAATCAGAGTTGGACAATCTTGCATTACAGTTTTATGTAAATATTCAAAAACATTTAACCTACAGATGCCTCAATTAATGTAATTTTATTGGTATCTATTTTTATTTTGAAATTGACCAGTAGCTGCTGCATTTCCCACCCCTGGTTTACACTCGAGTCAATACGTTTTCCCAGTTTTTGTGGTAAAATTAGGTGCCTCGGCTTATATTTGGCTCAACTTATACTCGAGTATATACGGTAATGGACATAACATATAATGGCTCCATAATACTTCATACCACAGAAGTATCTGTGCCCTTTTATGTCTCATTTTTTAATTTCAAATAATATGTTCTACTTACAGAATTACAGTTCCACTAACAGCAATACAGCAACTAATAAAGCTATAGTATGTCTGTGTAAGGGGTGTTCATTCTAGTATTTAGATCAACATTAAGTAAAAATGCACATATGTCACTAAGGCATTTTCATACACTTTTCCCTCATTAACACTTTAAATATTATTTTACTGCTAGACTCGCAGCCTGCAACCTTGGTAGATTCCCACTCCTTAAGAAATTCTTCCAGTTTCTGCAAAAGAGTAAAGCAATTCTCCCTTTTAAATTATGCAGCAAGGAAAAAAGCACAAAAATTGCAATTCAACTCAGTGAATTAAATATAATGACAAGAACAACATGAAGCAATTGTTCCTGGGGAGCAATGATTCAATAATTCCAATTTGATAACATAGACACTTTTTGCCTTAACCCATCTCTCCTGTTTTCCAAAACTTCTGGTCTTTCATACTGAGTCTATGCCTGCAAGTCTTCAGCAGAGCATCCTGTGTCCAGCAGAAAATAGACTTTAATCCCACAAGGCTCAATTCTCCAGCCTACATACAAGGAGGTCAGAGCATATGACCTGACATCATGAACTATGAATAGTTTAAGCCAGAGTTAATTAGATTAGTCATAATGTTGTCCCAATCAATCATTCTTACTGTTTGAACTTGTTTTGCTTAGTTCTCAGAGTAAGTACAGATGAACTTATTCTAACTTACTGTCAAGTACATATGAACTTCAATATAGGCAAGGCTTCTTGCTCTCTGAAGTTACTTCAGGGATGGCTGGAAACTACAGCATTATTTTAACTGTTCAAAAAGCCAGGGATAAATGACAATGCATTTAGCCCTTATGGTGCACACATGTACTTGAAAACATGCAGACCACTGTTCAACTAGGGACACTTCCAGACATGGCATGGATCTATTCATTCCTTCAAAATGGAAAAAAAAATGCTAGCTAGTCTGCGTTTGCAGTAATCTTTGCACTTAGAAATACAAAGTCTGTCACGGCCTCCAGATTTTCTCCCTCTATTTGCCAGTTATCAATCAGTCTTGTTGCCCTAATCTTGGTTTTTTTTTTTTTTTGTTTAGCTGCAACCCAGCTTTTGCACTTTCTTCTTTCACCTTGATTAGAAGTCTCCTCAGCTCCTCCTTGCTTTTGGCCATCAAAGTGGTATCATCTGCATATCTAAGGTTGTTAATGTTTCTTTCAGCAATTTTAACCCAAGCCTTGTATTTGTCAAGCCCTGCACATTGCATGATGTGTTCTGCATACAAGTTGAATAGGTTGGGTGAGAGTATACAACCCTGCCATACGCCTTGAACCAGTCTGTTGTTCCATGGTCAGTTCTTACTGTTGCTACTTGGTCCTTATACAGATTCCTCAGGAGAGAGATAAGGTGATTTGGTATGCCCGTACCACCAACAACTTGCCACAACTTATTATGATCAACACAGTCGAAGGCTTTAGAATAGTCAATAAAACAGAAATAGATGTTTTTTTCTGAAACTCTCTGCCTTTCTCCATTATCCGGTGGATATTGGCAATTTAGTCTCTCGTTCCTCTGCCTTTTCTGAACCCAGCTTGTACATCTGGCAACTCTCTCTCCATGTATTGCTGGAGTCTTCCTTGCAGGATCTTGAGCACTACCTTACTGGCATGAGAGAAATAAGTGGTACTGTACGAAAGTTTGAACAGTCTTTAGCATTTCCCTTTTTTGGTATGGGGATATAAATTGTTTTTTTCCAGGCTTTAACCTATAAAGCCCTAAATCAGTGTTTCTCAACCTGGGGGTTGGGACCCCTGGGGGGGGGGGTCGCGAGGGGGTATCAGAGGGGTCGCCAAAGACCATCAGAAAACACAGTATTTTCTATTGGTCATGGGGGTTCTGTGTAGGAAGTTTAGCCAAATTCTCTCATTGTTGGAGTTTAGAATGCTCTTTGATTGTAGGTGAACTATAAATCCCAGCAACTACAACTCCCAAATGTCAAGGTCTATTTTCTCTAACCTCCTCCAGTATTCACATTTGGGCATGTTGAGTATTCGTGCCAAGTTTGGTCCAGATCCATCATTGTTTGAGTCCACAGTGCTCTCTGGATAAAGGTGAACTACAACTCCAAAACTCAAGGTCAATGCCTAACAAACCCTTCCAGTATTTACTGTTGGTCATAGGAGTTCTGTGTGCCAAGACTGGTTCAATTCAGTCATTGGTGGAGTTCAGAATGCTCTTTGATTGTATGTGAACTATGAATCTCAGCAATGACAACTCCCAAATGACAGCATCAATCAAATTCAAATTTGGGCATATCAGGCATTTGAGCCAAATTTGGTCCAGTAAATGAAAATACATCCTGCATATCAGATACTTACGTGACGATTCATAACAGCAGCAAAATTACAGTTGTGAAGTCGCAACAAAAATGTTATGGTTGGGGGTCACCACAACATGATAACTGTATTAAGGGGTCACGGCATTAGGGAGATTGAGAACCACTGCCCTAAATGGTTCTGGCTCAGTTTACCTGCCTGAACGTATCTCCCCCTATGAACCAACTTGGACATTAAGATCGTCTGGGGAGGCCCTGTTCTCGGTGCCACCTCCTTCGCAGGTGCGACTGGTAGAGACGAAGGACAGGGCATTCTCAATTGTGGCCCCTCGGCTGTGGAACTCCCTTCCTAGCGAAATCAGATCAACTCCCTCCTATCCGTTAGAAAGAAAGTTAAAGCCTGGTGATGAAACCAAGTGTTTGGAGAGTAGTACAGGGTAGAATGCAGCTATGAAGTGAATGGAATGCAATGTAATTGAAACAGCTTCTGGATTATGATTTCGGGTCTATGTGCAACATTTAACAGCTTATTTAATGTATTTATATAATATTGTTTTTATGATTTTAATGCTTTTAATGCATAATGTATCTGTAATTTTTTTGTTTAATGCGGCATTGAATATTGCCAATTTGGAAGCCGCTCTGATCCCCCCCCCCCCCCCCCCCCCGGGTTGAGATACAGTGGGGTAGAAATGCTGTACATAAATAAAGAATAAATAAATCAAAATGATCAGAGTCCACACTATCAAGAGATAATCCAGTTCAATGTGGATTTTATACCTCTGTGTGGAAGGGGCCTCAGGGGTTTTTTTTCAACAAGAAGATGAGGTTAAAAAAGCTCCATTGGCTGCCATTCATCTTCCGGTCCCAATTCAAGGTGCAGGTTATCACCTATAAAGCCCTGAACAGTTTGGGACCTGCCTACCATTGTGACCACATCTCCTACCACAAACCTGCATTATCTCTTTGATCCTCTGGAGAGGCCCTCTTTTCCCCCTTCTTCCATCACAGGCACAACTTGTGGGAACAAGGGACAGAGCCTTCTTGGCTGTGCCCCCCCCCCCCCCGGCTTTGGAACTCGCTACCTGGTGAGATTAGGCATGCCCCCACCCCAGCAGCCTTCAAGAAAGATCTGAAAACTTGGCTCTTTTGATGTGTGCTTAGAGAGTGACCATATAACCCATTTCTGTCTGTTCCATCTACAGTGGTCCTCATGATGCACTTTCCCCAGTCCTTAATGAACGTCTAACCCCACTGTTACACCTTTTTGGGCTCCTCCCTCACAAATACACGTTTTCTATTCCTATCTCATCCAGGGTTTTATCATTTTATCTTGTGCATTTGGCCCGCCCTTTGTATTCGACTATTATTATGTTACTAGCCATCCCCTGCCACACGTTGCTGTGGCCCAGTCTGGTGACCTGGAAAATAAAGTAATGAGAAAGTTTTGGTTTCTAATATATGTAATTTCGTTATCCTTGTGGGTAAACAGAATTTCTTGTTGTTTCTTTGTCAGTGTTGATGTGGAGATTGCTTGATTTGTCTACTCTGGAACATGCAAGATGCAAATTGTCCTTCTTTAGGGGTCTCTTTCAAATCTATGATACTATATCTCTCTGTGTGTGAATCATATATATCTATGGCTGGATGGCTCTTTGTCAGGAGGGCTTTGATTACGTTTTCTTGCTTTGGTGAAGGGTGTTGGACTGGATGGTCTTAAGTATTTTCTGTTGGTCATGGGGGTTCTGTGTGGGAAGTTTGCCCCAATTCCGTCGTTGGTGGGGTTCAGAATGCTCCTTGATTGTAGGTGAACTATAAATTCTAGTAACTACAACTCCTAATTGTCAAAGTCTATTTTCCACAAACTTCATCTGTGTTCATATTTGGGCATATGGAACATTTGTGCCAAGTTTGGTCCAGATCCATCATTGTTTGAGTCCACAGTGCTCTCTGGATGTAGGTGAACTACAACTCCCAAACTCAAGGTCAATGCCCACCAAACCCTTCTAGTGTTTTCTGTTGGTCATGGGAGTCCTGTGTGCTAAGTTTGGCCCAATTCCATCATTGGTGGAGTTCAAAATGCTCTTTGATTGTAGGTGACCTATAAATCCCAGCAACTACAACTCCCAAATGACAAAATCAATTTTTTTTTAGTGATGATCAGTTCTTGGGTTAGTAGGCGTCTTGTGGCCAAATTTGGCGGCAATTTGTCCAGTGGTTTTTGAGTTATGTTACTCCCACAAACGAACATTACATTTTTATTTATATAGATTTTGCACTGTTTATTTTATCTTGTTACTTTATGCATTTTGTTATGATGTAATTTTTCTGTTGTTTTGTATTTTATTTTGCTGTATTGTATTTTTGGGCTTGGCCTCATGTTAGCCGCCCTGTGTCTACTTTGGAGAGATGGTGCCGGGGTACAAATAAAGATTATTATTATTATTATTATTACTACTACTACTACTAGCCATCACCTGCCATGTGTTGCTGTGGCCAGCCTAGCGATTTAGAAAATAAAGTAACGAGAAAGTGCTGGTTTCTAATATATCTGTAATGTCTTTATGCTTGTGGGTAAACAGTATTTCTTGTTGTTTCTTTGTCAGTGTTGATGTAGAGATTGTCTGGTTTGCCTACGCTGGAACATATAATTGTCCTTCTTTAGGGCTCCCTTTCAAACCTATGGTACTATATCTGTCATATACATATATCTGTGTCTGTGTGAATCATACATAACTATCTATATCTATGGCTGGATGTCTCTTTGTCAGGAGGGCTTTGGTTATGCTTTCTTGCCCTGGTGAAGGGAGGTGGACTGGATGGCCTTAATGCAGCATTTCTTATTCTGGGGGTCGGGATGCCAGAGGGAGGTCGTGAGGGGGTGTCGCAAGGGTCATCAGAGTTGTTGTTGTGGTTCTGTGTGGAAAGTTTTGTCCAATTCTATCATTGGTGGGGTCAGAATGCTCTTTGATTGTAGGTGAACTATAAATCCTGACAACCCTATACGATTCCGGCTCAGCGTATCTGTCCGAACGCATCTCCCTTTACGTCCCATCTCGGAGTTTGAGATCCTCTGGGGAGGCCCTGTTCTCGACCCCGCCTCTGTCACAAGTGAGATTGGCGGGGACGAGGAGCAGGGCCTTCTCAGTGGTGGCCCCTCACCTATGGAATTCACTCCCCGGGGAGATCAGATCAGCAACATCCCTCCTTTCATTCAGAAAGAAATTAAAGACGTGGATGTGGGACCAGGCGTTTGGGCAATCTGGCAGATGAATAAGGGACTGTGACAATAGATAGGAACTGGACAAGGTAGAGCGAAACATGAATTCTGAGTTGGCAAATGCTGTGTCTGAGATTGGCTATTGATTGTGTGATATATTGTTGTTTTTAATTGTTTTAATTGTTGACCATTTAATTGCTGGTTTTATATGTTATTGTATTTGTGTAGGCACCAAGATGTGCCTTTTGTAAGCCGCCCTGAGTCCCCCCTCAGGGGTGAGAAGGGCGGGGTATAAGTACACGAAATAAATAAATAAACAACAACTCCAAATTGCCAAGGTCTATTTCCCCCAAACTCCATCTGTGTTCATACTTGTGGATATGCAGTATTTGCGCCAATTTTTGTCAATATCCTTCATTTTTGAGTCCACAATGCTCTTTGGATGTAGGTGAACTATAACTCCAAAACGCAAGGTTAGTGCCCGCCCAACCTTCCAGTATTTTCTGTTCGTCATGGGAGTTCCATGTATAAATATGTGAGAGGAAGCCACAGGGAGGAGGGAGCAAGCTTGTTTTCTGCTTCCCTGGAGACTAGGACGCGGAACAATGGCTTCCAACTACAAGAGAGGAGATTCCATCTGAACATGAGGAAGAACTTCCTAACTGTGAGAGCCGTTCAGCAGTGGAACTCTCTGCCCCGGAGTGTGGTGGAGGCTCCTTCTTTGGAAGCTTTTAAACAGAGGCTGGATGGCCATCTGTCAGGGGTGATTTGAATCCAATATTCCTGCTTCTTGGCAGGGGGTTGGACTGGATGGCCCATGAGGTCTCTTCCAACTCTTTGATTCTATGATTCTGTGTGCCAAGTTTGGTTCAATTCCATCGTTGATGGAGTTCAGAATGCTCTTTGATTGTAGTTGAGCTATAAATCCCAGCAACTACAACTCCCAAATGGCAAAATCATAACTTTTTGAGTGATGGTCACTCCTTGTGTTGTGAGACATTTTGTTGCCAAATTTGATGTGATCTTGTACATTGGTTCTTTTGTTTTTAAGGAGTATTTATATAGATAGATAGATAGATAGATAGATAGATAGATAGAGAGATTAAAAACAACCACACCCAAGTATGTTCATGAGGGTGGAGTAATGGGCCAAGCAGGCCTCCTCAAAGGGCGGCCCTCCAGATCTCTGGGCCTCTAACTTCTACAGGCCCTCGCCAGTTTGTTGAATGGCCAGGAATCCTGGGAGCTGGAGGCCTAAGCAAGGAGAGGGCCGCAGCCTGAGCAGGCCTAGCCCAGAGAGTTCTCTGCGGGGCTCCGAAAGCGAGGCCCTTTCTCTCGCGGGGCGCCTTTCCCTCACCTGGTGCCGCCATCGGAAGAGGCTGGGCGTGTCGATATTGGGGTGAGTCTCGTCCTCATCGTCGGACACCTCGATGTGATCCCACACGCTGTAATCCACCATGGCGCTGCGGCTAGTGCGGCCCCTCCTCGGACTTCCGCTATGCCTCGTGCGTCATTTCCGCCTAACTTAGCGCCTCCGCCCCTTTCTTCCCTCCTGCTCGTCTCTGTGACGCTCACTGGGAAACAACAGAGCTACGATATAATAGAGTGATGCGCCGCCTTGACTTCTGGGACCCACTCTGTGGAATTTTCCCTTTGCTAGGTTCTTGTGGGTTTTTTCGTGCTGTATGGCCATGTTCTAGAGGCATTTCTCCTGACGTTTCGCCTGCATCTATGGCAAGCATCCTCAGAGGTAGTGAGGTCTGTTGGAACTAGGAAAATGGGTTTATATATCTGTGGAATGGCTGGGGTGGGACAAGGAGCTCTTCTCTGCTGGAGCTAGGTGTGAATGTTTCAACTGACCACCTTCATTAGCATTTGAAGGCCTGGCTGAGCCTGGGAAATCTTTTGTTGAGAGGTGTTAAGATGTGCCTGGTTGTTTCCTCTCTGCTGTTTTGCTGTTGTAATTTTAGAGTTTTTTAATACTGGTAGCCAGATTTTGTTCATTTTCATGTTCTCTTCCTTTCTGTTGAAATTGTCCACATGCTTGTGGATTTCAATGGCTTCTCTGTGTAGTCTGACATGGTGGTTGTTGGTGTGGTCCAGCATTTCTGTGTTCTCAAATAATATGCTGTGTCCATGCTGGTTCATCAGGTTCTCTGCTATGGCTGACTTCTCTGGTTGAAGTAGTCTGCAGTGCCTTTCATGTTCCTTGATTCGTGTTTGGGCAATGCTGCTGCGTTTGGTGGTCCCTATGTAGACTTGTCCACAGCTGCATGGTACACGGTAGACTCCTGCAGAAGTGAGAGGATCCCTCTTGTCCTTTGCTGAACGTAGCATTTGTTGGATTTTCTTGGTGGGTTTGTAGATTGTTTGTATGTTGTGTTTCCTCATCAGTTTCCCTATGTGGTCAGTGGTTCCCTTGATGTATGGCAGGAACACTTTTCCTCTGGGTGGATCTAAGGCAGAAAGAAATAAGCTTTAGTTTTACAAAATGCCGGGGTCTTCATGTAGAAAAGAGAACGGATATGGACTTGACCATATATGGGAGACAAAGACGGGTTTTGGTGCCAAAGATAAGTTTTTTGTGCAAGGGTGAAGTATCGGTCAGGAGACGTGCTGACTTTGCAGAGAGGTCAGCCAAAGGCTAAATTAAGCTTGCCAGATCAGCAGATGTCTCCAAGCTGTATCAGCATCTTGAGATGTTTCCAGAAAGGGCTTGCTTATTGAGAAACGAAACTTAAAAGTGTATGATCTAATTGCTTAACATAAATATAATATTGACAGCTTTCTTAACCAATGATTTAATCTTTGGGGCGGCTCTTAAAGCCGAACCCCTTTGCATGTATAAAAGAAACCCCTAACCCTTTGTGCGGGGTGACTTCCCCCAGAGACGCCTTGTTGTGTCAGAAGTCATCTTAGCAGCTGCTAATAAAATACTTTGATTTCTTCTGAACCCTGTTGGCTGTTTTCCCTGACTCATCTGCGCTCGCAATTGGACTTGGTTTGAGCATTTTGGCTAAGCTCTTGAGCATTGCTCAGGGGGAAAGAAAAAGTCTGCTTCAGATCTTCATCTTTACTCTCGTGGCTTGTTCTTGGTCTTGCAGCTCTTCTGATGTCTGAGGTGGAGTATTCATTGGCCTGGAGAGCCCAGTTGAGGAGGTTCCGTTCATCTTGGAGGAGGTGGGGTTCGCAGATTCTCAACAGACCTCACTACCTCTGAGGATGCTTGCCATAGATGCAGGCGAAACGTCAGGAGAAATGCCTCTAGAACATGGCCCTATAGCCCGAAAAAACCTACAAGAACCTAGTGATTCCAGCCATGAAAGCCTTCGACAATACATTTCCCTTTGCTGTTTTGGCTGGATCTATACGCACGCAATTTATATAGCAGTGTAGCTCCAGCCTACAGTAGAAAGAATGCAGCTCAACCCCACTTTAAACTGTCATGGCTCATAGCATCTAGTCAAGACCGTTAATATTAAAATCTATATAAATAAAAATGTAATGTTCGTTTGTGGGATTAACAGAACTCAAAAACCACTGGACGAATTGACACCAAATTTGGACACAAAACACCTAACAAACCAATGTATGTCCTTCACTTAAAAAAAGTGAAGTAGCAGCCAATAGTGAAAGGACCAAGGCAGAGACATCTCCAGCTCATCCCCTGTTTGGGTATCAGCCAGCACGCCAACGACTTAAATCAAGAAATAGTTTTCTAAGATCTACAGAGACACTCGCTGGAACACCCCAGCAAGCGAGAGTCCAAAAGTGGCAGGCTCAAACCCAGAACCTCAATCAATGGCTGATACCAAATGAGAGACTCCCCCCTGGGCACACAGAGAAGACTGGGCGACTTGGAAGGCGCTGAACAGACTGCGCTCTGGCACCACGAGATGCAGAGCCAACCTTCAGAAATGGGGCTACAAAGTGGAATCCTCGACATGCGAGTGTGGAGAAGAGCAAACCACTGACCACCTGCTGCAATGCAACCTGAGCCCTGCCAAATGCACAATGGAGGACCTTCTTGCAGCAACACCAGAAGCACTCCAAGTGGCCAGATACTGGTCAAAGGACATTTAACCAACTACCAAACTCACAAGTTGTGTATTTTTCTGTTTGTTTGCTTTGTTCTGTTAGAAATGTAATATAATGGACTGGTTGCTCTGACACGACAAATAAAAATACTACACCGAAGTGATTTTGTAATTTGGGAGTTGTAGTTGCTGGGATTTATAGTTCACGTACAATCAAAGAGCATTCTGAACTCCACCAATGATTTTTTATTTATTTATTTCGTGCACTTCTACCCCACCCTTCTCAACCCCCGAGGGGGGACTCAGGGCGGCTTACAAAAGGCACAATTTGATGCCAACCCAAACAATAAGATAAAACATATATAAACAGCAATTATAAAACAATTAAAACAATCAATTATACATCACAATCAATAAAACCAATCTAATGCTTAACGTTCGCCAGCTCGGAATCCGTAAGTTCATTCCACATTGTCAAATCCTATCAATTCTAGTCGTCATTGTCCTTTGTCTATCGCCAGATTACCCAAAGGCCTAGTCCCATATCCATGTTTTTAGTTTCCTTCTAAAAGAGAAGAGGGATGTTGATGACCTAATTTTCCCGGGAAGTGAATTCCACAGGCGAGGGGCCACCACCGAGAAGTCCCTGCTCCTCGTCCCCACCAGTCTCACTTGTGATAGAGGTGGGGCCAAGAGCAGGGCCTCCCCAGAAGATCTTAAACTCCGAGGCGGGATGTAGAAGGAGATGCGTTCGGACAGGTATGCTGGGCCGGAGCCGTATAGTGTTTCCGAGCAGTCTTCAAAGGCAACCCCACGTAAAGTGCGTTGCAGTAATCTATTTGGGATGTAACAAGAGCGTGGACCACTGTGGCCAGATCTGAAGCAAACGTGGCATACAGGATTCCCATGACAAACAGAAAACACTAGAAGGGTTTGATGGGCATTGACCTTGAAAGTTGTAGTTCACCTACATCCAGAGAGCACTGTGGACTCAAACAATGATGGATCTGGACCACACTTGACACAAATATTCCATATGCCCAAATATGTACACAAAAGGAGTTTGGGGGAAATAGACCCTGACATTTGGGAGTTGTAGTTACTGGGATTTATAGTTCATCTACAATCAAAGAGCATTCTGAACCAGACCAACAATAGAACTGGGGCTAACTTCCCACACAGAACCCCCATGACCAACAGAAAATACTTAAGGCCATCCATTCCAACTCCCTTCACCAGGGCAAGAAAAAGTAATCAAAGCCCTCCTGACAAAGAGCCATCCAGTCATATACATAGATATATATGATTCACACACAGTGAGCAATATAATATCATAGATTTGAAAGGGACCCCTAAAGAAGGACAATTATATGTTGCATGTTCCAGAGTAGACAAATCAAACAATCTCCACATCAACACTAACAAAGAAACAACAAGAAATACTGTTTACCCACAAGCATAAAGAAATTACATATATTAGAAACCAAAACTTCCTCATTATTTCATTTTCCARATCACCAGACGGAGCCACAGCAACGCGTGGCAGGGGATGGCTAGTTATATATAATATTACGAATATTACTTAGGACCTTAAGATCATCTAGGGAGGCCCTGCTCTCGTTACCRCCTTCATCACAAGTATTTTTGGCAGAAACGAGAGACAGGGCCTTCTCGGCGGTGGCTCCTCGGCTGTGGAATGCCCTCCGTATAGATATTAGATCGACCACCTCCCTTTTCACATTCCAGAAAGAATTTGCAAATGCAGAGTAACTGACATAGGAAAATGAGACCGGACAACGTTTTTAACAAGGAGACACTATGAATTTATATTTTATTGATATGTTTAATTTTTATTATATGTTATGTTTTTAATTGTATGATCGTGTTAAAAAACAAAGTATGGATTGTCGCTGTTGCAATCCCGGGTGWCAGCAGGATTGAAGAGAAACAACTGGAAAAGATGACATGATATGAGGATTTAAAGATCGAACKGCAAAGACTCTGGCACAAACCAGTAAAGGTGGTCCCAGTGATGATCGGCACACTAGGTAGAGTGCCTAAAGACCTTGGCCTGCACTTAAATACAATCGGCGCTGACAAAATTACCGTCTGCCAGCTGCAGAAGGCCACCTTACTGGGATCTGCACGCATTATTCGCCAATACATCACACAGTCCTAGACACTTGGGAAGTGCCCGATGTATGATCCAATACAACAGCCAGCAGAGTGTCTGCTATGGATTCATCTTATGGTGTTTCAAATAATAATAATAATAATAATAATAATAATAATAATAATAATAGCCTTTGTTATCTACTGTGGTTCCAGGATCCACTGTGGATACCAAAATCTACACATCCTTACATCCAATGGCATAGTAAAATGGAATCACTTTGACCAAATTTAAGCTTTGCTTTTTGGATCTTTTTATATATATATTGAAGATGTGGATATGGGGTTGTAGATATGGGAGGCTGA